ATCTTGTCCCCCAGGATGCGACCCACACCAGCCGACTAACACCCAGGTACCTATTTGCTGCTAGGTGAACAGGACAACAGGTGTAAGGAAACGTGTCGAAATGTTTCCACCCGCCGGGAATCGAACCCGGGCCCTCCGTGTGTGAAGCGGGAGCTTTAGCCACCAGGCCACCGAGCCTGGAAAAAACAAATAAAGGAATCCGTGATCTTCATCTTAAATGAATCGTTTCGTGGATATGTCTCCTCTTTTCATTTTCCAAAGGCAATATATTACAGTGATCTGTAACTCTGAAAGAGATGAAATTCGTTACTAAGATTATTTTGCGTTTTTTCCCCCTAAACATCCCCTAGTACTTTGCACTCCCCTAAACTTCCCTAGTACTGTATCTGCGCTTAAAAAAAATTCCCACGTTTATCAGCTTTGCGTATAACGTTTCTACTGCATCTACAACTCGTAAAATAAACAACTCTTTTTTTATCCTTTCGTCTCGTGTGTAAGTTGACGTTCAGTGGAGTAAACATCCTCAGTGTGTTCAGAAGTCTGGATTAAGATGTCTTCAAGGTCTTCTTCAGGTCTCTTCTTAGTACGAGTTTCACTTAGAAAACCCGAGTTTTTATATGAATGTTTTTTCTTCTTCTCTTTCAATGTCTGTCTGTCCACTCTTACCCCGTGTGTGTGTGTGTGTGTGTGTGTGTGTGTGTGTGTGTGTGTGTGTGTGTGTGTGTGTGTGTGTGTACGAGAGAGAGAGAGAGAGAGAGAGAGAGAGAGAGAGAGAGAGAGAAGAGAGAGAGAGGAAAGTCTAGTATTTTTTATTACTGCTCTCAGGTTTTTCAACCTTACAGGTGGACGAGTGAGCACCAGCTGAATTATTGAAGGTTTAAATACTGAATAATTAACTACAAGAGCTAAATGAAGGGGCTTTGTACGTCTGTCTGTCATGTAGGTAGATATGTCTGTATATCTGTAAGTCTTTATGTGTATATGCAGTTAAGAATGTATGTATGCAATGCATGTTATGTATGTATGTATGTATGTATGTATGTATGTATGTATGTATGTATGTATGTATGTATGTATGTATGTATGTATGATTATGTATGTATGTATGTATGTATGTATGTATGTATGTATGTATGTACTTACCTATTTGTGGTTGTAGGGGTCGATTCAAAGCTCCTGGCCCCGCCTCTTCGCTGGTTGCTACTAGGTTCACTCTCTCCCAGCTCCATGAGCATTATCGTACCTATTCTTAAAGCTATGTATAGAGCCTGCCTCCGCTATATCACTCTCCAAATTGCTGCACTTCCTGAAAACTTAATGGATGAAGAAATACTTCCTAACATCCTTGTGGGGTCATCTGAGTCTTCCATTTGTAATCCCTTGTTACTGTGTCCCATCTCTCAAACATCCTTTCTCTATCCACCTTATCAATTCCTCTCAGTATTTTATATGTTCGTTTATCATGTCTCCCCTATCCCTCCTGTCCTCCATTGTCGTTAGGTTCATTTGTCTTAACCTCTCCTCGCAGGACATGCCCTTTAGCTCCGGGACTAGTCTTGTTGCAAACCTTTGCACTTCTAATTTCTTAACGTGCGTGACCAGGTGTGGGTTCCAAACTGGTGCTGCATACTCCAATATAGACCTGATATACACAGTGTATAGTATCTTGAAGGACTGCTTACTCAGGTGTCAAACGCTATTCTTAAGTTTGCCAGGCGCCCATATGCTGCAGCAGTTATTTCGTTGATGTGGGCCTTAGGAGATGTGCTCGGAAAGATATTCACCCCAAGATCCTTTTCCTATAGTGAAGTTTGCAGCCTTTGGCCCCTCTAGCCTGTACTCCGTCTACGGTCTTCTTTAACCTTCCCCGTGACTTTACACTTGGTTAGGTAAACTCCAGGAGCCAATTGTTGGGAAAAGGGTTGCAGCCTGTCCACATTCCTGTGTAGTCCTGCCTGATCTTCGTTCGCTTGAATTTTCCGCATTAGCCTCACATTGCAAACACCTCTAAATCTAGCCCTTCCGTCATGTCATTCACATGTACCAGAAACAGCATTGGCCCTGAGAGTGACCCTTGTAGAACCTTGCTCGTCACAGGCGCCCACTCTGACACCTTGTCAAGTATCATCACTTGTTGTTTCTTTTCTGTTAGGTATTCCCTGATCCCTTTCCTGTTATACCTGCCCGCTGTATGTATGTATGTATGTATGTATGTATGTATGTATGTATGTATGTATGTGTGTGTATGTATGTATGTATGCATGCGTGTGTATGTGTATGTATATGTATATATTATCGTCCTGCCAATTGACTGTAAAACGAAAGCCTGTAATTGTTTTACATGATGGTAGGATTGTTGTTGTCTTTTTCTGTCTCATAAACACACACACACACACACACACACACACACACACATATATATATATATATATATATTAATATATATATATATATATTATATATATATATATATTATATATAAAATATATATATATATATATATATATATATATATATATATATATATTATATTATATTAATGTGTGTGTTTGTGTGTATCTTACATACGAAATAAGTCACTCTGTCTGACTTTTTTGGGTTATCCTAGGTTCTCTACACATATGCTGCTATGTATGATAATTCTATGTAACTGTATTTGTGTATACCTGAATAAACTTACTTACTTACTTACTAACATTTGAAACATTCTGCTACAGCAGAACTGTTCTCGTGTACGAGCGAGACAGCTGTTCCTGTGTTCGGAAACTTGATAATACTGTTGATTCACTGAATTTTCATAACTTTGACTATGGAAGTTTGCTTCTTTTAGGTGGAGAAGGAAGGTCTGAAGCCTTTCGACTGCACGAGGGTCATTAAGGTTGCATGCTACCTGTTCGCTACCTGTTCGTTACCTGTTCGCTACCTGTCAGGAATATTTTAAACCCTAGTTTAGGGATTAAAATGCATTCTCAGCAGATATCACACATGTGGCACTGCAATACTACACATGTGGCACCACTACAGTGCCTAACGTGGTCCTTTAATTCATTACAAGATAACATCGCTGTGCCAGTGGCCATAAACAAACTGCTTTGATGTTATCAGAGTGTCTTCAAGGCGGATATTAGGATGATGTGGGAAGATAAGTAGCCTGCCGTCCCTGTCGTAAATAAGTGACGACGCTGGGACATGGCTTATACGTGACTGGCTACTTGAGACATGGAGACGTGCCGCGGATATGGTTGTCTCTGTTAGATATGCAGGCAGGCAATATAAAAGACTGGTAATGGAAGAAATGAAGAAATTACTTGTACAAAGCTGGCATTATAAGACATAGAAGCTTGCTTTGGACATAGCTGGCTATGTGAGACATGCAGGCAGCCCTTGGATGTGGTTGTATATGTAAGAAATGCAGGAATACCTTGGATTTGGCTGTGTATATAAGCTGGATGCTATGTAGGAGTAAGTACGGTCCATGGAAAAACAAACAAGTTGAAAATTTGATAAGTGGTTTTGAAAACCTACAAGTTGAAGACTGAGACACGTATGCAACATATGGGAATCAATCATCAACTTGTGGGTTTTCAAAACCATTTATCACATCTGTCAGACACTGCAACGTCATGGGATCTTGACACAAGGAATTCTTCAACACTTGTCCAACCTTCGGACGAAGACCTACTTCGACTAGTGGATGGTTCCGCTGTGATCCCGCCTCTTCCAGCTTCCGCTCACCTGGCTATAGTATATAATTCACTTTTCCGGCCATATGCTGTACTTCCTACCAGGGTGATGGACTGAACACATTTATTCCAGGCTGAGGGACTGATTACCTCAAACTCCTCCTTTCCTTACCCTCTCTCTACTTTGTATTGGACTGATGAAGCCATTGTGAGGCGAAACATTTCCTTAATGAAGATTCCCATATATTGCATAATTGTCAAGTTGATAATTGTCCTTATGATGGTGTAAATACGTATGTAACTTGATGAGACTTTAAGACAGCCATTAGACATGGTTGCATGTCTAATGCAGGTGTGCCTTGGATTTGTCTATCTATATAAGATATGTAGACGTGTCTACATAGCATCCAGCTATGTATGAGTAAGTACGGTCCATGGCAAAGCAGACAACAATGTGAAAATCGCCCTTATGATGCTGAAAATTTTTTTTTACTAATGGCTGTATGAAAGACACGTATTTTTTTTACTTATCAATTCGTGTATGTTAAAATTTCTCCTTGCAAAAAAACAACAAAAAACGAAACTAACTTACGAATTTTTGAGTGCATTTAATCACTGTCTCAGGGATAAAAAAAAATGAGGTTGGAGCCATCTGTGGTCCAGCAATTTCATTTGGTCAACTGACTTTATTTTGCTGATGTCGTTATGCTGTACGAACATGTTCAAGACTTGAGTCATTCTAGGAATGAATGATCTCTCCTCTCTCTCTCTCTCTCTCTTCTCCTCGTCTCATCTCTCTCTCCCCTCTCACTCTCTCTCCTCTCTCTCATCTCTCTCTCTCTCTCTCTCCTCTCTCTCTCTCACTTCTCTCTCGTTCTCTCTCTCAATCTCTCTCCTTCAACTCACACTACTCTCAATCTCTCTCTGCTTTTTATCACTTCTCATCATTCTTGAGCCTCTCTGTGTCCAGCTTTCATTTGGTTCAACTACTTTCATTTTGCTATGTCGTTATGCTGTCGAACTGTTCACTTCGATCTTTCTAGGAATCAATGATTCTCTCTCTTCTCTCTCCTCTCTCTCTCTCTCTCTCTCTCTCTCTCTCTCTCTCTCTCTCTCTCTCTCTCCTCTCTCTCTCTCTCTCTCTTTCTCTCTCTCTCTCTCTTCTCTCTTCTTTCTCTCTCTCTCTCTCTCTCTCATCCTCTCTCTCTCTCCTCTCTCTCTCTCTCTCTCTCTCTCTCTCTCTCTCTCTCTCTCTTCTCTCTCTCTCTCTCTCTCTCTCTCTCTCTCTCTCACCTCTCTCTCTCCCCTCTCACTCACCGAGCGTTGGCCGAGGTTATTTACAATGCAGGGTATGAAGGCAGTGGTGCCAGCATAGGCGCGGACCTTCAGCGGGGTAGCGGGATCAATGTATGGCTCGGTAGCTGATACCCGTCCTGGGAAGGACTCCTGGTGTACCTCCAGCGGACTGGGGGCATGCTCCATGCCCCCCTTGATGTCCGGGGTACTGTGGGAGTAGTAGTCAGTGGCTGGGGTCTGTGGTGTGGGTGTGGGAGAGGTGTGGTCCGTCCCAACCGTAGCTTCTCTCACTCCGTCCGATGCGCTCACAGCTGTGGGAGGAGACGGGGAAAAATTAGAGGTGGGGGGATTGGAGGTCAGGGCGTTGTGGCAACACTGCTCTGTGAAGGTCAGTGTTGTGGCAACACTATTAGGTGGAGGCTAGGGTGTTGTGGCAACACTGTTCTGTGGAGGTTAGGGTGTTTTGGCAACACTGTTATGTGGAGGTCAGGGTGTTTTGGCAACACTGTTATGTGGAGGTCAGGGTGTTGTGGCAACACTGTTATGTGGAGATCAAGGTGTTGTGGCAACACTGTTAGGTGGAGGTTAGGGTGTTGTGGCAACACTGTTAGGTGGAGGTTAGGGTGTTGTGGCAACACTGTTCTTGGGAGGTCAAGGCGTTGTGGCAACACTGTTCTGGGGAGGTCATGGTGTTGCGGCAACACTGTGGTGGAGGTCATTGTGGTGTGGCAACATTGTTCTGGGGTGGTCATGATGTTGTGGCAACACTGCTCTGGGAAAGTCATTGTGTTGTGGCAACACTGTTCTGGGAAGGTCATGGTGTTGTGGCAACTCGGTAGTGGTCATTGTATTGTAGCATCACTGTTCTGTGGAGGTCATGGTGTTATGGCAACATTGTTCTGGGGTGGTCATGGTGCCGTGGCAACACTGCGATGGAGGACAGGGTGTTGTGGCAACACTGTAGTAGACGTCAGGATGTTGTGGCAGTACTATGTTTGAGGTCAGAGTGCTGTGGCAACACTGTGGTTGAGATCAGGGTATTGTGGCTACACTGTGGTGGAGGCCAAGGTGGGTGGCAAACGTGGGTGGGTGTTTTTGGAAACACTGGGGAGGTCATTTTTGTGGCAACACTGGTGGAGGTCGGGTTTTTTGGGAAACTGGTGGAGGCAGGTTTTTTGTGGCAACATGGGTGGAGGGGGGGTTTTGGCAACACTGGTGGACCCAGGGTTTTTTGGCAACCTGGTGGAGGTCAGGTTTTTGGGGCAACATGGGGGAGTCGGTGTTTTGGGGAAACCCTGGTAGTAAAGGGGTTTTGGGGCAACATTTTGGGGGGGGGCAAGGTGGGGAAACTGTTGGGGGTCAGGGGTTGTGGCAAATGGTGGAGGTCGGGGGTTTTGGAACACTGGTGGGTCAGGTTTGGGGAAACCCTTTGGTGGGGTCGGGGTTTTGTGGCAACAGTGGGGATTTTTCAAAAAAAAAGGGTTGTGGCAACCTTGGGGGTCAGGTTTGGGGAAAAACACTGGGGGGTGGGGTTTTTTTGGGGGGCAACACGGTGGGGGCCCAGGGGTTTGGGCAAATTTGGGGGAGGTAAAGGGTTGTGGAACCCTTTTGGGAGGTAAATTTTTTTTGTGGAACACTGGGGAGGTCAGGGGTTTTTGGCAACACGTGGGGACGGGTTTGGGCCCCAACCTGGTGGGGCAGGTGTGGGCAACACTGTGGAGGCAGGGTTTTTGTGGGCAACCGGGGGGGCCAGGGTTTTGGCAACACTTGTGGGGGTTTGGGGGTTTTTTGGGGCAAAAGGGGGGAGGTCGGGGGTTTGGGCAAATTGGGAGGTCAGGGGTTTGTGGAACACTGGTGGAGGATGGGTTGGGGCAACCTTGGGGAGGTCGGTGTTGTGGCAACACTGGTAGGCGGGGTTTGGGGAAAACCGGTGGAGGTCGGGGTTTTGGGGGCAACAGGGAGGTGGGGTTTGTGGAAACACGGGGGGGTCAGGGTTTTTTTGTGGCCAAGGGAGGTGGGGGGTTTTGTGGAACCCTGGTGGAGGTCAGGGTTTTTGGGCAACATTGGGAGGCGGGTTTTTGGGCAAACTGGTGGAGGTCGGGGTTTTGTGGCAACCTGGGGGGAAGGGTTTTGTGGCAACACTGGGAGGCAGGGTTTGTGGCAACCTGGTGGGGTCGGGTGTTTGTGAAAACATGGAGGGGGGGGGTGTTGTGGAAAACAGGGGGTGGAGGCGGGGTTTGTGGAAAAATGGGGAGGAGGGTTTTTTGGCAACCTGGGAGGTCAGGGTGTTGTGGCAACAGGGTGGAGGTCGGGGTGTTGGGGAAACCGGGGGAGTCAGGGTGTTTGGAACCCCTGGGGAGGAAGGGTTTTGTGGCAACCGGGGAGGTCGGGTTTTGGGAAACAGGGGAGGCGGGTTTTTTGGGGAACACGTGGACCGGTGTTTGGCAAACATTTGGAGGCAGGGGTTTGGGGAAACACTGGTGGAGGCCAGGGTGTTTGGCAAAAATGGTGGAGGTAAGGGGGTTTTGTCAACACGGGTGGAGTCAGGTGTTTGGGGCAAACTGGTGGAGGGCAGGGGGTTTGGAAAACACTGGGGAGGCAGGGTTTGGGCAACACTGGGAGGTCAGGGTGTTTGGAACACTGGGGGAGGTCGGGTTTTGTGGAACACTGTGGAGGCAGGGGTTGTGGCAACACTGGTGGAGGTCAGGGTGTTGTGGCAAAAAAATGGTGGAGGTGGGGTGTTTGGAAACCCGGTGGATTTTCAGGGGGTTTTGGCAACACTTGAGGTCGGGTTTTGGCAAACTGGTGGAGGTCAGGTTTTTTGGGGGCAACACTTGGAGGTCGGGGTTTGGGAAACACGGGTGGGGCCCAGGGTGTTGTGGGAACATGGGGGAGGCAGGGTGTTGTGGAACACTGTGGAGGTCGGGGTGTTTTGGCCCCTGTGGGGGGCAGGGTGTTGTGGAAAACAGGGAAGGGGGTCAGGGTTTGAGGAAACAGGGTGGAGGCAGGGTGTTTGTGGCAACAGGGTGGGTCAGGGTTTTGTCAACACTGGTGGGGGTCAGGTGTTTGGGGGCAAACTGGTGGAGGCAGGGTTTTTGGGGCCCAACACGGGTGGAGGCAGGGTTTGTGGAACACTGGGGGGGTCAGGGGTTGGGGCAACACGGGGTGGAGGTCAGGTTTTGTGGCAACACGGGGAGGCAGGTTTTGTGGCAACACGGGTGGAGGTAGGGTTTGGGGGAACACGGTGGAGGTCAGGGGTTGTGGCAACATGGTGGAGGTCAGTGTTGTTAAACTGGGGGGGGTCGGGGTTTTTGGGCAAAATGTGGGGGTCAGGGTTTTTGGGGCAACACTGTGGGGGTCAGGGTTTTTGCAAACTGGTGGAGTCGGGGTTTGTGGCAACACTGGTGGAGGTAGGGTTTTTGGGGCCACCTGGTGGGGCCAGGGTGTTTTTGAACACGGGGGAGGTGGGGGGGTTTTTGTGGAAACACGGTGGAGGTCAGGGGTTTGGCAACACTGGGGGGAGGTCGGGTTTTGGGGACATGGTGGGGTCAGGTTTTGGGCAACAGGTGGAGTGGGGGTTTGTCAACATGGGAGGTGGGGTTTTTTGGCAACATGGTGGAGGTCGGGATTTTGTGGCAAAGGGGGAGGTCAGGGTGTTTGGCAACCTGGTGGGGTCAGGGTGTGTCAACACTGGTGGGGGTCGGGTTTGTGGAAACTGGTGGGGTCAGGGTGTTGTGGAACACTGGTGGAGGCAGGGTTTTGGGGAAAACACTGGTGGAGTCAGGGTGTTGTGGAAAACACTGGTGAGGTCGGGGTGTTTGGAAAACATTGTGGAGGCGGGTGTTTTGGAACACTGGTGGAGGTCGGGGTGTTGGGGAAACACGGTGGAGGTCAGGGTTTGTGGCAACACTGGTGGGGGTTAAGGGTTTGGGAAACACGGGTGGAGGTAAGGGGTTTTTGTGGAAAAAATTTGGGGTGGGGGGGTGGGGGGGTTTTTGGGGAAAACAGGTGGAGGTCAGGGGTTTTGGGCAACACTGGGGAGGCAGGGTTTTGGCAACATGGTGGGGGTCGGTGTTTTGGCAACACTGTGGAGGCCAGGGTGTTTTCAACAATGGGGGGGAGGTCAGGGGTTTGTGGCAACACGGTGGAGGCCCCAGGGTTTTTGTGGAAACCCTGGTGGAGGCAGGGTGTTTTGGCAACACTGGGGGGGTCAGGGTTTTTTTGCAACATGGGGGGGCCGGGGTGTTGTGGGCAACATGGGGGAGGTGGGGGGTTTTTGGGGGCAACCGGTGATAGGTGTTGGGCAACCCGGGTGGAGGTCAGGGTGTTGTGGCAACACTGGTGGAGGTCAGGGTGTTGTGGCAACACTGGTGGAGGTCAGGGTGTTGTGGCAACACTGGTGGAGGTCAGGGTGTTGGGCAACACGGGAGGCCAGGGTTTTTGGGGGCAACACTGGTGGAGGTCAGGGTGTTGTGGCAACACTGGTGGAGGTCAGGGTGTTGTGGCAACACTGGTGGAGGTCAGGGTGTTGTGGCAACACTGGTGGAGGTCAGGTGTTGTGGAAAACCCATTGGGGGTCAGGGTGTTGTGGCAACACGGGGGGAAGGTCGGGTTTGGGGGCAACACTTGGAGGTCAGGGTGTTGGGGAACAGGGGAGGTCAGGGGTTTTGTGGCAACACTTGGGAGGTAGGGGTTTGGCAACACTGGTGGAGTGGGGGTTTTTTGGCAACACTGGTGAGGTCGGGGTGTTGTGGCAACACTGGGGAGGTCAGGGTGTTGGGAAACCCCTGGTGGGGTCGGGGTGTTGTGCAACACTGTGGAGGTCGGGGTGTTTGGGCAACACTGGGGGAGGTCAGGGTTTGTGGAAAACACTGGGGAGTCGGGTTTGTGGCAACACTGGGGAAGGTGGGGGTGTTTGGAAAAAGTGGAGGTCAGGTGTTGTGGCAACACAGGGGAGGTCAGGGTGTTGTGGCAACACTGTGGAGGTCAGGGTGTTGTGGCAACACTGTGGGGGCGGGGTTTTTTTGGGCAACACTGGGGGGAGGCAGGGTTTTGGGGGCAACATGGTGAGGTCAGGGGTTGGGGCAAAAACTGTGGGGGTCAGGGTTTTTGTGGAAACACTGTGGAGGTCGGGTGTTGTGGCAACACTGGGGAGGTCAGGGTTTTTTGGGAAACACTGGGGAGGTCGGGGTGTTGGGGCAAACTGGTGGGGGCCCGGGGGTTTTGTGGCAACACTGGTGGAGGTCAGGGGGTTGTGGAAAAACACTGGGGGGCAGGGTTTTGGGGAAAACACTGGTGGGGGTGGGGGGTG